CGTTCATTCCCACATATTCTAACATGGGAGAGGATCCACAGAAACTTGATGACTCTTTCCTGATTGGTAAGTACTCTCACAGCTCTCTTGATTTCAGCGATTATTGCAAGATTTTCTGTCCGATTTTTACTTACAATTTGCAGTGCTGCTTTTCAATCAGTGCAAATCACTGCACCATTAGTGTTCTGTTCAAAAAACCTTAACGCCATAACAATGGCAGTTAGCTCTGCTTGCGATGAAGAGGAATAGTTCTTAATACGCGATTTTTCTTCATTTCTGCGTTGGAAAGTATTATCCTTAATTACCGTGTATGCTGCACCTGCCCTGCCATTGACAGGATTAGATGACCCGTCAGTGTAGATTTGATCTAGTTCATCTCCGGCTTCTTTATATATTTCCTCGAGATACTTGTGCCTCATTTCTTGTTGTATGTTGGATTTTTTTTGTTGCCATTTCATTGATAATAATCCTGCATAAGTCATCCTGCTAAGGAGGTAACCTCTCTACAGGCAGGAGCTCACGGGCTTGCTCAAGCAGGTGAAGTTCTATGAGGTAGCAGACTGATCTGTGATGCCATTTATTGCTTCTCCTGTTTCCTCCTGTAAGTAGCACAGAACTCTGTTTTTTCTTAGCAATATCATTGTAATGGGGATCTCTGGCTATCCTAATTGCAAGCTTGGCATTCAGCTCCTTAATTCTGCTTTTAACACTGGGGAGGGACAACTCTCGTAGATTAAAGGTTTTGGCAGTTTTTGGAACTCCGTGAGTGATTGTCATGGCTTCATTCTGAATGCTCTCGAGCCTTTTCTTATCACTTTGGGAGTAGGTGCACAGAACTGGTGCGGTATAGTCTACGACGGAGCGCACATAGGCTGTGTACATTATTTTTAAGCACGGCAATAGAGGCGCCATGCCCATGCCAGGTCATGGCTTTCAGTGCCCTGAGTCGACTTTTGCATGTTCCTATGAGTTGGTTGAGCTCCTCTTTCTTCCCCTTGTTAGACCTGATAGTGATGCCAAGGTACCGATAGTGGTCAACCCATTCAAGTGTTACACCATTAATGTCTAGTTCTTCATTTTCTCCCCGCTTGTGATGAGAGTATGATTTTGTCTTGTTTGTGCAGAGAGTGAAACCGAGCTGAATACATTTCCTTCCGAGGAGTTCACTGGACTGTTTAATTTTTTCCCAAGGTGAGAGCTTGTATTAAAACATCATCTGCATATCCAACTTGATGTGTTCCATCTGGAAAGTCAAAATTTGCAATGGCGTTCATAAGTACATTGAATAGTGTAGGGCTTAAGACTCCTCCTTGGAGGGTACCGAGTTCCATATTCATTATTCTTGAGACTGCTCCATTGAAGCAGACTTTGGCTTTCCTCCCTGTGAGGTAGTCTTCAACCCATTTCATGAGTCTCCCCCTTGACACCCATGCATGCAAGCTTGTCCAGGATCGCTATCCCCTGTGCTTTGTCGAAAGCTCCTTTGATGTCGACAAATACAGAGTACTTAGCTGTATCATTAGACAGATAATTAACTATACAATTTGCTGTGCTCCGTCCTTTAACAAATCCATTGACCCCCTCTCCTAGCTTGCCTATTTTGTGCAACAGTCGGTTTAGAATGACAGTGGATGCCACACACACATCCTTTGGGCGGAAGTGGAACATATACCCATCCAGTGGGCAGTAGTGGACCCCATACCCAGCCTGCAGGCGGTAGTAGATGCCATACTCATCCTGTGGGTGGTAGAGGACCATATAGCCATCCAGTAGGTGGTAGTGGACCTCATACCCATCCTCTGAATGATAGTGGTCCCCATACCCATCCTAAGGGCAGTTGATGGGACCAGACCAATCCTACAAGTGGTATGGACCCCTTACCCACCTAACAGGTGGTAGTGGTCCCAATACCCTTCCTACTGTAGGTAGTAGACGCTATACCAACCTGTTTGCAGTAGTCTACCCCATAGACATTCCAACGAAACATCGTTTTCTGTTGACGTTCCTACAATACATTCTTTAAAGATTTTTAAAGCATAGACTAGTGTATGTAATGTTGATTGGTGAAGCACTTTTATTTTATGTAATAAATTATAGTGCTTACTATAATTTACTAAGAACAACTAATATTTGTCAAAACAAAACTACGAACCTTCAATAGGATGTAGCTGATCTGTAATATTCTAAGAACATGGACAATAGTAGATAAATTTTACAACCCATGTGGGACCTGAAACTACAATTTTCATTATAATTGAACCAATCACGACTATTCTGCTGTCTATGGCGATGGACGGGTACTGTGAGACGTAAGTTGGTACGTGAGGAAGAGTTTGGGCCTTGAAAAAAATATAACTGGGAATATACCACGTATATACTAACTCATAAGCAAAATATTGACTATAAGCAATAAGTCATATATGTACTGTCTTGTGCGAGAGCGGGTTGTTTGTGCAGCAGTCGGGTTAGAATGATCCTGTCAAGCATCTTGCATGTGCATGACACATGGCCGATAGGTCTGTAATTGCCAGGGTCATTGGGCTTCGGATTGGGAACAATTATTGCTTGTTTCCATTGTGTGGGCAACACTCCACTTAGGAATGATTTTTTAAACAGGTGGAGCAGTGGATTCCCAGACACTTCACACAGTGCATTGAGTATGTCGTAGGTGACGCCATCTTCACCAGGTGCTGGACTTTTATCATTTTTCATAGCGCCCCTTACTTCCTGGGCTGTGATCGGTTCCCCCATATTCCTCATCACTAGACAGTGCTCTTGTTATCCCAAGTCTTCTGTCATCATGTCGCAGGAGCTGTTCCCTGCTGATTTCTGAGGAGGGAGGAGGAGGATGCTGCATCACTCCACTTGTTAATTAGTTCCTCAGCCTTACCCTGGGGGTCTTTGTGAGTCGCAGGCCGGGCTCTGCCCCCCTTAGCTATCTGAATTTTTGCCCACACTTGTCTTACAAATGTTTCCCTTCCAATAAAGCTAGTTAACTCAAGCCACTGTCTTTCCCGCTCTTTAATCTTCTCTTCCCTGACTACTTGACACTCAGTTTTAAACAACTCTTGGTTATTTTCTGTGGGATGTCTCCGGTACTCTCTACTCATGTCTCTTGCATTTGTGTTAAGTATCTTTATGTAATCATTCTCATATCATTTTATTTTCTTCCTCTGAGGGTTACTTCGCCCAGTCGTACGGCGCTGAACTCTGAGACAGCTCTCAATTTGGTGATTAAGGTCATCAACAAATGTGTCAATGTCTTCTGGGATTTGGTATTCCGTGAACCAGTCACTCATCCTGTTTATGAAGTGCGGCCTTATATCTGGTCCAGGTGATAACCTTTTTCTTTTATTTGTCTCTTTCCTTCTCTTGCTCATGTCGACGGTGGTAATCAGTGCCCAATGGTCACTACATAAACTGTGCACAATGTGTGTACTAGCATCCGTGTCCTGTGCATTCAGCTGGAGAGCAAAATCTAATCTTCCTCCTCTGAGGTGAGTTGGCTGTTCATCACCGAGAACTCTAAGATTTTCACTTCCCCTGACATAGAGTGACAGTTTCCGTCCATTGACATTGGGCTGATGACAGTTGGCACCAAAGTGTGGGTGTCTGGCATTAAGGTCATATAGGTTGATTATATGTAGAGCATTGTTGTTTAAGTGAAGGGTTACTCCCAGTGATTCAAACTCATCCCCATGTGCAGGTCATCAATAATCTGTGCGGGAATGTTGTTGTTAACTAAATTGATGAGAGGCCGTTTTCCTTTCCCAGCGGGCAGGGAGAACTTGCGATAACCGCTGAATCTTGGAATGAAGTCATCATCTACCAGTGTCTCCTGTAGCACTATGACGTCAGTTTGGTGTTCACGGACTTAGTGAATGATGTCATTAATCCTATTGCGAACTCCGTTGCAGTTCCATTGTATTATAGTGAGATGTTCGTTGTGATTATCCATTTTGAGGTGGTTTGTCGTCAGCTGCACTATGTGTGTAATTATTGTGTTCATATGAGTTATCGTGTATTCCATGATGTTTGGTGTTACTGTGTGCACTGGTGTTACTGTGTATACTGCTGTTACTGTGTATACTGATGTGCTGGTGTCCTTGTTGTGTCTGCTGACGGACCTCGGCAGCATGTGTTGCATCATCTTGCATCAGGCTCTGCCTTGCAGGACCTCCACTCAATAGACTCCGCTGTTGCAGGATGATGAGGAATTATTTCTGTGTCGTGTTAATCTGGCAGAGAGCTTTCTCAAGTTCCGTTTGCTTTTGCAATATTTGGAGGTCGACTGGATGAGTTTGTATCATACGGTCTAATATTGCTTTGACACAAACCGAAGTGACGACCTCCTGGGGGTCAGGAGTGTCTGGAGGGGGAGGGGGGAGGCAGATGGGATACAGTTGGGGGGAGGGGGGTCTGATTCATTGGTAGGGGTTTAGGGGTTGGGTGGTTGTGTAAAACCGTGGGTAGAGATTGCGTTGTGGTGGGTGAGTTCCCTGGAGGAGAAAAAGGTGGGAAGGTTTCAGGATCGGGGAGCGGTGGTGGCTGGCTACACTGCTCCTGCCCATGGCCCATGCCTGATTGCCCTCCCCACCCTGGGTTCCCCTGTTCACTGGTTAATCACTACCCCAGACTGTTGTCGGTCTACTGTGAGCTGGACCCTGGGCTGGCCCCTGAACTGGACCCTGGCTTGCTGTGGTACTGTTCACGGAGCTATTCCCGCCCCTGTTCACTGGTCCACCTGCGGTTTGATTCGGTCTTTTCGAGCCCCACCAAGTAGGCCTCACGCTGCAATACCTGTTCCAAGCATGATGGGGCTGCTTGAAGTTGACACATCTAGGTATTACCCCGCTATTCCCTCCCGGTGCAAGCTTAGCAAGACACTGCTTGATGTCGTGAGAACACTGCAACACCCACACCTAATTGGGCGATCACATTGCCACGTTCTGTAATCCCACCGTTGACAGTTGCCACATAAGGATGGGCTGCCAATATACCTCTCCACTTTGCACACCATCATGCCTGATATTTTAATGACTGGGGGCAGGTCTCCCTTCCACATAGCAATTGCTTGCTTTTTGGGCAGTCCCCCTGGTCCAGTGTTGCGCTCGACGCAAACAATCTCTTTAAAGTCCTTGAGAAATTTCACGTCAACATGAATACTGTAGTTCTTGATGATAATTTTAGTTTGTCTTGTCTGTGGGTTTGCTTCTAACAATTTAACATCCTTACCTTGATACTCAAGACTGTTCTCTGTGAAGTACTTCATGGCCCTGTTCCCCTGCACCCGTGCACTGACATTGCCACCTGCACACACCCTCTCTATGAGAAACACCGCTCTGTGGGCGCAGGCGGCCTCAATAATCCATCTGTACTTATCTGCTGCTGTCAATCCCATTGCAGAAAGATTAGGGTGTGCCACTCACTGTCTTCGTCTTGTCGTCGTCGTTGTTGTTGTTGTTGTTGCTGCTGCTGCTCACCCTGTCGCTTGTCCCGCCTCTCCCTTGCATCACAAGAGGTGAACCCAGATGTAATCGGAACTCACAGAAACAAAACTTTCAGGAATCATAACGAATGCAGTGTTTCCCTAAGACTACACTGTAATAAGCAAAGAGAGGGAAGGAAGGGGAGAATGTGGAGTGGCCCTACTAATCAGAAAGGAATGGAGTTTCAAGGAGATGGTTATCCCGGGATGTGAGGGATTCAGAGGCTACATAACAGGCACCATGACAATGGGAGGACCAAAAGTAGTAGTAGCAGTGATATCTAACCTTCCACCAAATGACAGAACACCAAGGCAAGAGTATGACAACATGGCAGTTAACTCTATAATTGAGAGGGCAGCCTATGCTGCCTGTAGAAATAGATCCCATCTGCTCATCATGGAGAACTTCAATCACGGAAGGATAGACTGAGAGAACAAGGAACCGCGTGGAGGTGAGGATACATGGAGAGCCAAACTACTGGAGATGGCGAGAAGAAACTTTTTAAGCCAGCATGTCAGCGAACCCACAAGGATAAGAATAAACGATGAACCACCGAGACTCGACCTAGCCTTCACTCTGAACGTCTCCGACATAAGAGAAATCAGTTTCGAGGTCCCAGTAGGAATGAGCGACCACAGTGTACTGGTGTTTGAGTATCTGGTTGAAGAAGGATTAATGAACTCAAGGAGGGGTTCAGTCCAGCAACCAGGAGGCCTGGTCGACGACCGGGCCGCAGGGACACTAAGCCCCGGAAGCACCTCAAGGTAGCCTCAAGGTAGGGGTACTTAAAACAAAAGGGTGGCATTCCTTGCAGTGCTGCTTTTCAATCAGTGCCAAATCACTGCACCATTAGTGTTCTGTTCAAAAAACCTTAACGCCATAACAATGGCATTAGCTCTGCTTGCGATGAAGAGGAATGTTCTTAATACGCGATTTTTCTTCATTTCTGCGTTGGAAAGTATTATCCTTAATTACCGTGTATGCTGCACCTGCCCTGCCATTGACAGGATTAGATGACCCGTCATGTAGATTTGATCTAGTTCATCTCCGGCTTCTTTATATATTTCCTCGAGATACTTGTGCCTCATTTCTTGTTGTATGTTGGATTTTTTTTGTTGCCATTTCATTGATAATAATCCTGCATAAGTCATCCTGCTAAGGAGGTAACCTCTCTACAGGCAGGAGCTCACGGGCTTGCTCAAGCAGGTGAAGTTCTATGAGGTAGCAGACTGATCTGTGATGCCATTTATTGCTTCTCCTGTTTCCTCCTGTAAGTAGCACAGAACTCTGTTTTTTCTTAGCAATATCATTGTAATGGGGATCTCTGGCTACCTAATTGCAAGCTTGGCATTCAGCTCCTTAATTCTGCTTTTAACACTGGGGAGGGACAACTCTCGTAGATTAAAGGTTTTGGCAGTTTTTGGAACTCCGTGATTGATTGTCATGGCTTCATTCTGAATGCTCTCGACCTTTTCTTATCACTTTGGGAGTAGGTGCACAGAACTGGTGCGGTATAGTCTACGACGGAGCGCACATAGGCTGTGTACATTATTTTTAAGCACGGCAATAAGGCGCCATTGCCCATGCCAGGTCTGGCTTTCAGTGCCCTGAGTCGACTTTTGCATGTTCCTATGAGTTGGTTGAGCTCCTCTTTCTTCCCCTTTTAGACCTGATAGTGATGCCAAGGTACCGATAGTGGTCAACCCATTCAAGTGTTACACCATTAATTCTAGTTCTTCATTTTCTCCCCGCTTGTGATTGGAGTATGATTTTGTCTTGTTTGTGCAGAGAGTGAAACCGAGCTGAATACATTTCCTTCCGAGGAGTTCACTGGACTGTTTAATTTTTTTCCCAAGGTGAGAGCTTGTATTAAAACATCATCTGCATATCCAACTTGATGTGTTCCATCTGGAAAGTCAAAATTTGCAATGGCGTTCATAAGTACATTGAATAGTGTAGGGCTTAAGACTCCTCCTTGGAGGGTACCGAGTTCCATATTCATTATTCTTGAGACTGCTCCATTGAAGCAGACTTTGGCTTTCCTCCCTGTGAGGTAGTCTTCAACCCATTTCATGAGTCTCCCCCTTGACACCCATGCATGAAGCTTGTCCAGGATCGCTATCCCCTGTGCTTTGTCGAAAGCTCCTTTGATGTCGACAAATACAGAGTACTTAGCTGTATCATTAGACAGATAATTAACTATAACAATTTGCTGTGCTCCGTCCTTTAACAAATCCATTGACCCCCCTCTCCTAGCTTGCCTATTTTGTGCAAACAGTCGGTTTAGAATGACAGTGGATGCCACACACACATCCTTTGGGCGGAAGTGGAACATATACCCATCCTTGGGCAGTAGTGGAACCCCATACCCGCCTGCAGGCGGTAGAATGCCATACTCATCCTGTGGGTGGTAGAGGACCATATAGCCATCCAGTAGGTTGGTAGTGGACCCTCATACCCATCCTCTGAATGATAGTGGTTCCCCATACCCATCCTAAGGGCAGTTGATGGGACCAGACCAATCCTACAATGGTATGGACCCCTTACCCACCTAACAGGTGGTAGTGGTTCCCAATACCCTTCCTACTGTAGGTAGTAGACGCTATACCAACCTGTTTGCAGTATTCTACCCCATAGACATTCCAACGAAACATCGTTTTCTGTTGACGTTCCTACAATACATTCTTTAAAGATTTTTAAAGCATAGACTAGTGTATGTAATGTTGATTGGTGAAGCACTTTTATTTTATGTAATAAATTATAGTGCTTACTATAATTTACTAAAGAACCAACTAATATTTGTCAAAACAAAACTACGAACCTTCAATAGGATTAGCTGATCTGTAATATTCTAAGAACATGGACAATAGTAGATAAATTTTACAACCCATGTGGGACCTGAAAACTACAATTTTCATTATAATTGAACCAATCACGACTATTCTGCTGTCTATGGCGATGGACGGGTACTGTGAGACGTAAGTTGGTACGTGAGGAAGAGTTTGGGCCTTGAAAAAAATATAACTGGGAATATACCACGTATATACTAACTCATAAGCAAAATATTGACTATAAGCAATAAGTCATAATGTACTGTCTTGTGCGAGAGCGGGTTGTTTGTGCAGCAGTCGGGTTAGAATGATCCTGTCAAGCATCTTGCATGTGCATGACACATGGCCGATAGGTCTGTAATTGCCAGGGTCATTGGGCTTCGGATTGGGAACAATTATTGCTTGTTTCCATTGTGTGGGCAACACTCCACTTAGGAATGAATTTTTTAAACAGGTGGAGCAGTGGATTCCCAGACACTTCACACAGTGCATTGAGTATGTCGTAGGTGACGCCATCTTCACCAGGTGCTGGACTTTTATCATTTTTCATAGCGCCCCTTACTTCCTGGGCTGGATCGGTTCCCCCATATTCCTCATCACTAGACAGTGCTCTTGTTATCCCCAAGTCTTCTGTCATCATGTCGCAGGAGCTGTTCCCTGCTGATTTCTGAGGAGGGAGGAGGAGGATGCTGCATCACTCCACTTGTTAATTTAGTTCCTCAGCCTTACCCTGGGGGTCTTTTGTGAGTCGCAGGCCGGGCTCTGCCCCCCTTAGCTATCTGAATTTTTGCCCACACTTGTCTTACAAATGTTTCCCTTCCAATAAAGCTAGTTAACTCAAGCCACTGTCTTTCCCGCTCTTTAATCTTCTCTTCCCTGACTACTTGACACTCAGTTTTAAACAACTCTTGGTTATTTTCTGTGGGATTCTCCGGTACTCTCTACTCATGTCTCTTGCATTTGTGTTAAGTATCTTTATGTAATCATTCTCATATTTTTTTTCTTCTCTGAGGGTTACTTCGCCCAGTCGTACGGCGCTGAATCTGAGACAGCTCTCAATTTGGTGATTAAGGTCATCAACAAATGTGTCAATGTCTTCTGGGATTTGGTATTCCGTGAACCAGTCACTCATCCTGTTTATGAAGTGCGGCCTTATATCTGGTCCAGGTGATAACCTTTTTCTTTTATTTGTCTCTTTCCTTCTCTTGCTCATGTCGACGGTGGTAATCAGTGCCCAATGGTCACTACATAAACTGTGCACAATGTGTGTACTAGCATCCGTGTCCTGTGCATTCACTGGAGAGCAAAATCTAATCTTCCTCCTCTGAGGGTGAGTTGGCTGTTCATCACCGAGAACTCTAAGATTTTCACTTCCCCTGACATAGAGTGACAGTTTCCGTCCATTGACATTGGGCTGATGACAGTTGGCACCAAATGTGGGTGTCTGGCATTAAGGTCATATAGGTTGATTATATGTAGAGCATTGTTGTTTAAGTGAAGGGTTACTCCCAGTGATTCAAACTCATCCCCATGTGCAGGTCATCAATAATCTGTGCGGGAATGTTGTTGTTAACTAAATTGATGAGAGGCCGTTTTCCTTTCCCAGCGGGCAGGGAGAACTTGCGATAACCGCTGAATCTTGGAATGAAGTCATCATCTACCAGTGTCTCCTGTAGCACTATGACGTCAGTTTGGTGTTCACGGACTTAGTGAATGATGTCATTAATCCTATTGCGAACTCCGTTGCAGTTCCATTGTATTATAGTGAGATGTTCGTTGTGATTATCCATTTTGAGGTGGTTTGTCGTCAGCTGCACTATGTGTTAATTATTGTGTTCATATGAGTTATCGTGTATTCCATGATGTTTGGTGTTACTGTGTGCACTGGTGTTACTGTGTAACTGCTGTTACTGTGTATACTGATGTGGGCTGGTGTCCTTGTTGTGTCTGCTGACGGACCTCGGCAGCATGTTTGCTCATCTTGCATCAGGCTCTGCCTTGCAGGACCTCCACTCAATAGACTCCGCTGTTGCAGGATGATGAGGAATTATTTTCTGTGTCGTGTTAATCTGGCAGAGAGC